GCACGTACTTATAGTAAAAATGTAATGTATGCCGCATGTAAAATTTTATTATAACACATCTCTATGTAAATGTACCTAGGTAGTAGGTACATAGTACATACACTTGTAAAAATCCTATGTTAAATCTCGCGTTGTCCCAGAAGCAACGAAGAGGGTAGAAACTAGAAATAAATAACTAAAGTGCATTTATTTCCAAGATAGACCGCAAGTACAGCGTACACCAATCGCCAATAGATATGTTTTTTCGCGTCCCAATCGCCCTTTGCGAGTACCCTCCTCCGACAATGTTCTTGACATAAGGAATTATTTATATCGGATCACGATAAGGGGTCGAGGAGGAGGACTATGGTTGGTAGAAATTAACTTCTTTCGTTGAGACCTTTCACTAGAGTACCATGAAAGATTAAATTAATTGATAAAAAATGCGCTAAAAAAAATAACTCGGAGTATTCTGGACGAATTAGTAAGGTAATAATTAATGTTCCATTCATTATTTGTGTACATCCCATGTACGAGATGGGTCCATCGCTAACTTAGTAAGCGATACTGTAAAAAATATCAGCGTATTGTATTAATACAGTAATACTTTTTCGAAAGAAATTCCCCTTATTTGATGGTTTTGCCCGTCCGTCTGTTCCTCGTCTAACTAGAGAACGAAAATCGAAAAGAGAGAGCGATGTCGAACATCCGCCAATCTATTTCTACGAGGTCAAAGATCCGTGCTGAATCCCTTTTTAAAAGGGTTTGTCCAACTCAAAAATTAGCGGAAACAATTCATCTATTCCTACATAGGTACAACTAGTGCAGCCTCTAATAAAAAGATTTAAAATATTAATTTTGAGGGATGGTTCGACAAGGATTCGAGGCAGAGCTGTTATCCATATAGTTTTTGTGAATTAGTAGAGAATTTTTAACGTACCCATTTACGCTTTATTAATGAGCGCTAGTATTTATCACATTTTCCTTTGCGTAAAAAATGTAGTGGTTTTTGAGATCTCTCGTAAATACAAGAAATTTTCATTAAAATATAATCTACTAAGTTCCTGTAATCTTGCAATTTCCATTAGCAGCATAGAAAGAGCGTTAAAGGGAAGTATAAAACAGCCTCATGCATGTTTAATATTTTACCCACAGGGTCACTCGTTCTTCCAGTTAATGGGACGCCTTATTTAATTTGTATGAGAATGAAGTTGCCATTCAAAATTCCCCCGACAGTTTTAGTGATAAGAGTAAAAACTCGTATAACTCGGTGTGTTTAGGCGAGCGAACACTGCAATGGTACATTTCTTTGTAAAATTTTAAGTTTGTATCTGAAATGTCAAAATGTCGGCAGTAAAGAGAATTTTTATTGCTTGGTATTTCTAACACTCACTCTAAATTCCCTCGTCCCCAAGCATCCTGCGGCATTCAATAACAAAATGTCTCTTCGACGGAGCGCTGATCCGATGAGGAGACACGCGGAATTGGATGGCGCTCTCCAGCCGGGTTTGGATTTAACGATCTCTAATAGATTTGTGCGAACAGCGGTGTAAAGGAAAGCCCTTGTCAGAGCGAGATTGTGACCACGCCGCTGCTCTACATTTGAACCTACGCGATTGAATTGGTTCCTTGGATCAGTAGGAGCTTTTCTTCAAAACTGCTTTATTGACAGTTTTATATAAAATATTTTTAGAACCACTTTGAGCCTACGATAACTAAAATTCACGAAAAGGAGGCACGCATAAACCTCGACGAATTTAAACAGATGAGTGCACAGAAAAATCCTGCAGCTTTTCAATCATCCTTTCGCTATTCTGTTGTATTTATGAACAGTTTTCTCTCTTCTAGGGTCATAAAAACGACGCATTTCAAATTTGCGGTGATAAATATTAATATTCAAATCGCATAGGATGCCGTAGAAGCATCTGATATAGATGTACGTTTCAACGTACAAAATACTTGCAAAATTAATTGAGGTTG